GGGTCTAGGCCTGAAACGTCAGCCTTCCTGTTCCTATGATGCTGCTTAGCCTGCTGTGAACATAAAATTGATCTACTTCACTACCATCTTTCCCCCTCTGTATAGATCTTAAGAAGTCCCATCTCATGCAGCAAATCCTGTACTCTATCATTGACATTCCCCAACCAAATTCTAAATGTAGAAAGCAATTTGACTCCGGTCAATCTACCTTGAAATTGCAAGGGAGATGTTGAGTCTTTATTTAGTATCTTTCCATGACATACACGGAGATGAAAACATATTAGAAGTAGGCAGGTGAGCCAATGTTTTTCCTCACTCTGATGCTGTATAATGGCAGTCTAACGTGCTATGCCACATTTAGTACTAAAACTGTTAGAAAGTCAAGTAACATTAATACTGGTGCAAGACTTTTTCAACAAAATAATTTTAATGTATAACAGCAACCATTATTAAGTATTTGAATAGTTGTAGATACTTTAGAATGTGAAGAAAATGGTTTAAAAAGCGTTCACTGAAATGTGTTCTGTAAAGTGTAAAATCATTCATCTTTTTGCCTCCAGCGAACACGTTCTAAAAGGGCTCGAAGTATATTTCCTGGTATTTTTTGGTGTTTGTTTATTAAGCCCTGCACAGCTTGCTTTGCCTAGAAAAATGAGAAGATACATCACATAAGTGTGTTATGAATGACCTTGGCTTCACATCAGAATACTGTTGTGCTACAAGTATTAACGTTTTAAGTTAACCTCTCTTGATAACTATTTGCGGAGACCAGCAAGTTCTAAATCTGATTCAAATTCTTCAAACCCTCCTCCATCTATGTAAAGACAGTCTTTACGCTGACTTTAGACTAACACAGTAAACTATGTGATACACTTCAGTAAAGCCTTTGACAAGGTTCCTCCTGGCAGGCTGATACAGAAGGTAAAGTTATACGGGGTCAGAGGTGAGCTTGCAAGATGGATAAAAAAACTGGCTCGGTCATAGAATACAGAGGGTAACAGTGGAAGGGTGTGTTTCTGAATGGAAGGCTGTGACTAGTGGCGTTCCTCAGGGATCAGTGCTGGGACCTTTGCTATGTGTAATGTATATAAATGATTTGGAGGAAAATGTAACTGGTCTGACTGGTAAGTTTGCGGATGACACAAAAGTTGGTGTAATTGCAGATAGCGATGAGGACCGTCAAAAGAGTACAGCGAGATATAGATCAGTTGGTGACTTGGGCAGAGAGATGGCAGATGGAGTTTAATGAGGAAAAATGTGAGGTAATGCATTTCAGAAGGTCTAATCCAGATGGAAAATATACAGTAAATGGCAGAATCCTTAAGAGTACTGATAGGCAGAGGGATCTGGGTGTACAGGTACATAGGTCACTGAAAGTGGCAACGCAGGTGGAGAAGGTCGTCAACAAGGCATACGGCATGCTTGCCTTCAACGGCTGGGGCAGTGAGTTTAAAAATTGGCAGGTAATATTGCAGCTTTATAAGAACCTTAGTTAGGCTGCATTTGGAATATGGTGTTCAATTTGGTCGCCACACTACCAGAAGGATGTGGTGGCTTTGGAGAGGGTACAGAAAAGATTTACCAGGATGTTGCCTGGTATGGAGGGCATTAGCTATGAGGAGAGATTGGAGAAACTTGGGTTGTTCTCACTGGAACGACGGAGGTTAAGGGGCAACCTGATAGAGGTCTACAAGATTATGAAGGATATGGGCAGAGTGGACAGTCAGAAGCTTTTTCCCAGCGTGGAAGAGTCAGTTACTAGGGGGCATAGGTTTAAGGCGCGAGGGGCAAGGTTCAAAGGTGATGTAAGAGGTAAGTATTTTACACAGAGGGTAGTGGGTGCCTGGAGCTCGCTGCTGGGGGAGGTAGTGGAAGCAGATACAATAATGACTTATAAACGGCGTCTTGACAAATACATGAATAGGGTGGGAATAGAGGGATATAGTCCCCAGAAGGGTAGGGGGTTTTAGTTGTGATGGGCAGCATGTCGGTGCGGGCTTGGAGGGCTGAAGGGCTTGTTCCTGTGCTATAATTTTCTTTGTTCTTTGTACACCATCTCTATGCAGTAGTTTACCTGTGATAATCACCAGCTGGCATTTTAGCATATATGATAACAGCATACATGGGTCCTTTCAGTTTCCCTCTCCGGAAAAATATTTGGATCTGCCAATATCTTCTAGTCAACAAGCAGAGTCAACAACTCAGCTTGTGCAAAACTGACGGTTACTTTAAAGTTTTTGAGAAGATTTGTAGCTCAGATCATGGATGAGGTTGCTGACTTGCTTGCCAGCTGGCGTATTTGATTGCAGACGTTTCATCATCCTGCTAGGTAACATCGTCAGTGTGCCTCCAGTGAAGCATTGGTGTTCTGTCCCGCTTGTTATTCATATGCCTCGCTTTGCTGGGGTGCTTGGTATTATTTCCGCTTCGGTTTTTCAGTGATTTGTATATCGGGTCCCGTTCAAAGTGTTTGTTGCCAACACTCTGGTTGGAATGCCAGGCCTCCAGGAATTCCCTGGCATGTCTCTGTCTGGCTTGTGCTATTATGAATGTGTTGTCCGAGTCGAATTCGTATCTCTTGAGACACAATCAATTCTCAATGGTCCCAATACACACGGACAAAGAAGGACACGAGTTCGAATGGGATAACACATCCGTAATAGCATAAGCCAGACCGAGACTTGTCAGAGAATTCCTGGAGGCCTGGCATTCCAACCGGAACTCTATCAACAAACACAATTGAATTGGACCCAATATACAAATCACTGAAAAACAGAACTGGAAATAATACCAATCACACCAGCAAATTGAGGCATATGAGTAACAAGCGGGACAGAGCACCGGCGCTTCACCGAAGGTGGACTGACAATGTTACCTAGCAGGGCGACAAAACGTTTGCAATCAAACACGCCGGCTTGGCAAGCAAGTCTGCAATCTCACTGATGGTTAGTATTTAGTTGAAAAGTCTATTAAATATTTGTCTTCAGAATAGAAATATAGATTTTACAATGGGTTGTTCCCGCACACCGCTCCCCCCCCCGTCAAATAACGATGTGCCCAATTGCCTAACAACACAATAAAAGGAAAAGAAATTACCTTTTCAGCCAGTTCAGCAGCAGTTATATTGGGATCGTAAGGAATTGGATCTCCCAAGTAGGTACAAAATTTGACAGGAAAACCGCCATAAATTGGAACAAATGGCCATCTAAATTTTTCATACAACCATTTACATATACCTGTTAAAAAGTGAGAAAGTCATGCTGTAGGCTAAATGCTGTACAACACCTAATTAGGTAAGTTATGAGCATTACCATATGACCACACATTTCAACTTGGAACTATCAAAAAAAATTGTAATGTTTTCTTGAAAGACTAAGATCTAGAGTCATAGAGTCATAAAGCACAGAAAGAGATCCTTTGGTCCAACTCATCCATGCCAACCAGACATCCCAATCTGACCTATCACATTTGCCAGCATCTGGCCCATATCCCTCTAAACCCTTCCTATTCATATATCCATCCAGATCCCTTTTAAATGTTATTGTACCAGCCTCCACCACTTCCTCTGGCAGTTCATTCCACACACGCACCACCCTCTGCGTGAAAAAGTTGCCCCTCGAGTCTTTTTTAAATCTTTCCCCTCTCACCCTAAACCTACGCCCTCTAGTTTTAGACTCCACTTTCTGGGGAAAAAAAATCTTTGGTTAGTCACCCTATCCGTGCCCCTCATGATTTTATTAACCTCTATAACGTACCACTCAGCCTCCGATACTCCAGGGGAAAATGCCCTAGCCTATTCAGCCGCTCCCTATAACTCAAACCCTCTAGACGTAGCAACATCCAGATAAATCTTTTCTGCACCTTCTCAAATTTAACAATACCCTTCCTAAAGAAGGACGACCAGAACTGTATACAGTATTTTATTAGTGGCCTCACCAATGTCCTGTAAACCCACCACATGATGTCCCAAGAACTATACTCAATGTTCTGACCAAGAAGGTAAGTTGCTAAATGCCTTCTTCATCACCCGGTCTACTTTCCACTTCACTTTCAAGGAACTATGCACCTGCACCCTAGGTCTCTTTGTTTGGCGACACTCCCCTGCGCCCTGCCATTAACTACAGAAGTCCTGCCTGGTTGGCCTTACCAAAATGCAACGCCTCACAATTGTGGAACTCTGGAGTGAAGAAAGTAGGGCAGATTGGACTTGCGTACAAGGGATTACCTACAGGGTAGTGGGGGTAGCTGCGGTAGGATGAGACAAAAGGACACAGGTTCTCAGTTGGTAACCTCTTTCCTGGTACCAGGCACCTTGAAAAAGGGAAATTTGTGGGAGGGCACTGTTAAACCCAACAGAGTTTGTTTGATGGCCTTACAATAACACTGGAAGTCCAAGTACATTTGGGACAATCATTAAGCCACCACTAAATTCTGGCAGACTCAGCAATAATGACATTTAAGGGCTTGATAATGAGCCTAACTGGCCAGTGGCCAGATTCTCTGCATCAGCCCATTCCTTCTTTGATCTAATAGGGTTCAGTTTTCCCACTAGCAGGAATAGAGCGAGTGGCCTCTCCTACCATTTTGTGGGCCTGCATGCCACCTACCCTACTCCACTGGGCTGCATTAAATACAAATGCAATTACCAGCTCAGATGTTAGCTAAGAAATGATTACATGAGCTGTCATGTTCTAAATCACAGCCGATTAGTTAGTTTCAAAAGGAGCACCTCATCAGCCAGACTGCTAACTTTAACACGAGTGGTCAAGACAGGTATTAATATTAAACTGAATAATACGAAAGAACTCTTGGGCTACCAACAACACAAAGTTGACAAAACATTGTGTCCCTGCCACGGTAGCAATGAACTTTCCAAGCAGAAGAGAAACACAGCTAATTTTCCTCTACAGCTGATGAGGAACACAGTTCACTTTACATTTGCCATTTCTGTGTCTTCATTTTTGAAAAATATAAATATCTAATATAAGTTGAGTAACAACTTGTAAAACTTACCAACATAGATGGTAGTAATGGCAGGCAATAAGATTGGGAGAGATTCCTGGTCTGCCACATGATGGAAAGAAATTAGAGTCCCAACCACAATTTCAGGCTACAACATGCATCTAAATAAGTACGTTTTCTAGCAACTCAACTCCCTGGGAGGCCAGTTGGCTCAGTTCTCTCAATGGACAATATGAATCAGATTGGTGCCAACTGCCCTGAAATCAATCGTTATTGCAGGTGGGATGGATTTGGCATCTGCCTCCTTTCACTGCCTGTGATGGAGGTTGCGGCACCATGGATCGGTCCTGCTTTGGGCAGAGAACTCAAGAAGAAATAGACATAGCTGACAGCCAAGGGGAACTGTGTAAGATGTCACCAGGTCGAGAAGAGATGACGAGGCAAATTAAAGAGTGATTCTAAGTTTTGATTTTATGCATTAGAAGTTGAAAATATTGGAGATTTGATGAGTTCTAGGGCAGAGTTACTAGTGACAAGTCTTCATTGAAACACTGTCAGCAGTTCAATATGAACATAACCATTACGTTATATTAGAAAAATTATCAAATCAAAAATATTTGCGGTTACTTTGCCACATTGGGCATGCATACGTCTGTCAACATCGGTCTTTGAAAAAAGCGAAAGTATCAATTTTGGTTACATCAAAGCAACCGAGGATGGAAAAGGAACGTATCAAGCAGACGACAGACATTCACATATACACATTATACATTCATTCAACAATTATGAAATTGCCATTCCTTTATTCCAATCCATTTGCAATCAACAGAAAATATATTTATCCTTTCTGCACCAAGGTGATATTTCACATTAATAGTATTATCCTGCTTCCATGTTTGAGTCTATTTTTATTTGGAAAAGTGTAAACTATAGGATCAAAATGCTTGTGATTCTAAAAAACCCTAAATTAATGCATCTCAATGATTCATTATAGTTTTAGAGCGAACATGGAACTCAGATGGATATTTCAATCATGTGTCAAATATTAATGCAGAGAACATAACTAGAAATTATTCAATTCTATGCAGGAATTTAAATCTTGAGAAATACTTCATTGCCAACAGATTACAAAATAATTGTTTTAAAATGTTGAAACTGTAACTTGCATGGCTAATAACATAAATGAACATTAAATACATTGCAAGGTACAATTTACATTATCCACAAGAGGAAAAGATATTACTTACCAAAACATCCAAATGTCCTAAACCCTTCTCGAATATTCCGTGTAAACATAGGAATAATGGACTGAAAATAGTAAAAGAAAAAGAGTTAAAGCAGCATTTAAAACCTTTTACAAATTTAGATTGCCCAATGCAATTTCTTTTTAAGAAATATGTTTCAAATAATTAGCACAAGTAATGTAGTGCAAAGGTGAATTATACTGGATTTCAATGGATGCCTTCAAGAACCAACAATGCATAAAAATGAAACATTAATGTCTCCTTATTTTACTACTAGACAGGAAGGGTGATACCTTGCTGTGAAGAGTGTCACATACAACATGGATCATGAGGTTAGCTGATTGGAAACTGCTACCTTTTTATTATACTGCTGATGATTTGGTTCGTAATTTTTCTGATGGTCCAAAACATCAATTGCTACAACACCTTCCTAACCTAAATTTACATTGGTTACTGGCACTAGTCCTGATCTAGATATTGCCTTATTCTTTAAGTATTAGAGCAGTAACATTTTCATAGTGTATCACAGAGCAGAATTTGAGAGAATGACAACTTTCTTTTAAAAAACTGCTCCTTAGGTTTCATAATGACATAATAGTTGTGGCAGTAGTCCACATGAGCCCTTGTGCACTCTGCCATTCGATATAATCATATTTGATCTCCAATTTCAATGCCACTTTTCCTCCCACTCCCCATATTCTTCCATTTTCTAAAAGATGAAAAAAAAACAATTGTTGTCTAGAATATTCTCAAAGGTGAAGCATCCACAATGCTCTGGGATAGATAATTCCGAAGATTCACCTTAGAGTGAACAAATGTCTTTTCAGCTCAGTTCTAATTGATTGTAGCTGTGACCACGGCTTATATTTCCAAGCCAGGGAAAAAAACTTTGCCAGGGTGACAGGCTGAATAGACTGGGGCTACTTTCCCTGGAGTGTCAGAGGCTGAGGGGTGACCTTATAGATGTTTATTATAATGGAATCTTAGAATCCCTACACTGTGGAAACAGGCCCTTCGGCCCAACAAGTCCACACCGACCTTCAGAGCACTCCACCTAATCTGCACATTCCTGAACACTATGAGCAATTTAGCATGGCCAATCCACCTAGCCTGCACATCTTTGGACTGTGGGAGGAAACTGGAGCACCTGGAGGAAACCCACGCAGACATGGGGAGAATGTGCAAACTCCACACAGATAGTCACCCGAGGCTGGAATCGAACCTGGGCCCCTGGTGCTGTGAGGCAGCATTGCTAACCACAGAGCCACTGTTAGGCCCCAAAAGCATGAGGGGCATGGACAGGGTAAACAGACAAGGTCTTTTCCCCCAAGGGTGGGAGGAGTCCAAAACTAGAGGGCACAGGTTTAAGAATTCTTTCACCCTTCAGAATCCTGTATATTTCAATGAGATCATCTCTCATTCTCCTAAACTCCTGAAAGTATCAACCCTATTTAGTCAGCTTCTTATGACAGGTAACCCTCTCAACTCAGGAGACAATCTCGTGAAATTCTGCTGTACCCTTCCCAAAGCGAATACATATTTCATTAGATATTGAAACCAAAATCGTACAAAGTTGTCCAGCTGTGACCCCACCAAAGTCTGATACAACTACGGTAAGACTTTCTTATTCTTATACTCCATTCACATTGTAATAAAGTGCTTTTATGTTCTCATTTCCTCCTATCAAACTCCACAGTTTTGTGTCAAAGAACAATACAGCACAGGAACAGGAATAGGCCCTTCGGCCCTGCAAGCCTGCGCCAAAACAATCTGCCCTTCCATACTAAAACTAGTTTCACTTACACGATCTGTATCCCACTATTCCATTCCCATTCGTGCATTCGAGCAGGTGTTTCTTCAATGCTGCTATTGTGTCTGCTTCCGCCACCTTTTTTGGTAGCGCATTCAGGCGTTCACCACCCTTTGAGTGAAAAACTTACCTCGCACATCTCTTTTAAATTTCCCCCTGTAACAGTTGCCATATTTTAAAGACACAAAATGGCCGACAAGGGATAAACAGAATTAAACAGCCTGCTCCAGCATTTAGACACATGGCGGACAAGTAATTAAACAATTAAACACCTGCTTCAGCATTTACGTGAAACACAATGGTACCTTTGAACAGGGCTACTCCAAGCTGAATGGGAGGCCATGCACAAACAGCCATCGACAAGAAGATGTCTAAGGATAGATCCAAGTTCATTATACTAAAACAAGTGATTGATTCCAGTCTCATTAATAAAAGGATGTTGTCCCATTCGGTGAACAGTGTCAGCTGGAACAAGGGGTGTAAACGTCAGTCAGCCTAACTCATTTGCAGCTTTGAAAACAACAGCTGAAGTTATTTTGTAGTAATCAGCTGTCTCTGAAGTTATTCACAATAAAGGAATAGGTTCTAGTTAAAGATTCTTCAGATAACCACAGAGATGGATTTCAACATAATTATACATACACATACATAACCAAAATATAATAGAAGCATTAGGGGAAAACATTCAAATATAGATGTGAAAGTTAATTAGTCTCAGGAAAGGCTTTCCTTATTACTAAAAAGATGACTGGCACGTCCTGTACTATATAGATTGTTTGCAACTCATTAGTTAAAGAGTGCTAACAGTAGAAGTAGCTATAAAACTTTACATATAACTAACTTTATAATAGAAATTAATATTATGATCTTATAGTAGTTAGTTAGAACCAAATGTCTTTTTTTTAATGTATATATAATTGAGACAGTGGGAAAATATAAGAGTAACAGAATTTGATAGAGATAGCAAAGGAATACAAAGGAAAACATAATTCAAGCAGTCCTTATAGATAAAAAGGTGTAGAGCTGGATGAACACAGCAGGCCAAGCAGCATCAGAGGAGCAGGAAGACTGACGTTTCGGGCCTAGACCCTCCTTCACCTTGTTATCTCAGATTCTCCAGCATCTGCAGTTCCTACTATCTCTGAAACAATTACTACCCCAGTCCTTAGAGATAAGCAAGTTTGGAATGTGAATTAATATGATACATGGAACGATCCCAAGGCCTGGAGATTACAATGTTTGTTAAACACCATGAGATCATAGGAACCTGGGGCTGTCCACTGGAGTGCCCATCACTGATTAGGTGTTTCACAGGATTGGATGTATAGAACAAGGAGAAGAACACAGTGACCATGTTGTATGTGCTTATTGTAAAATAAAATGTATAAAAATCCTATATTTCACTATAAAAGTCAGAGTGTCATTGATCTCTTTTCCAATCTGAGCCGAAGATTAAGGGAACAATTGCATTCTCACGTCAAGACCGGATTCGGGAGGAGATCTTTGCCTCTTTCTCTGCACAAACCGGTGATTGCTTGAATAAGAATAAAGACCACCATGTGTCTGAATCCTGCCTGCCTCCTGAGTCTTTGTCCCTGGTCCGAGGGTTTCACGAGTACACACTGGCGCTACTTGATGCTGGCATACCTTTTGCCATGATTTGGGTCAGTGCGTTTATTTACCACCCTTTAGTTAGCATGGCACTCTGTGCGGTAGCGAGTCTGAAAGACAGAGCACAAAATGAACTTTTTAAAACTGGAGCAAACAGGAGGAGACAGAATTACAGGTGTGGTAGCAGGGTCGCAGATGCTGACAGCGCAAGAAAGCTAGATAAGAGGTAAGAAATCCTCGGGAGCTAAAAGTGATACCTACTAAAAGATTAATAGGAGGTTGGAAATCCTCCGGTAAAAAGAAATAGATAGAAGCAGCGGACCGCCTCAGACACATCTGGGAGGGAGTCCAGGAGAATGGTAGGAAAGGATAGGACCGGGATAAGACCCGCTGGGATCCAGTCTGGTCCATTCTGCAGACTGTGTCTGAGAAATAATATAAAGCCTTAATTAAGGACATGAAAAGGCACAGAAAGTGTTAATCATCTTGCCACTCTGTTTAAGCAGAATGCCAAAAAGGCACAGAAACAAGGTAAAATAGCTGCAGCGTTCATAAGTGAGAAAGAGAGAGGGGTGATGGCTTTCTGCGCTAGTTTATTGAACATTATAGAAGTGTTAACTCTTTGTGGTCAGGTTTGAATGCACCCTTGTTTGTTGGTTGCTAAATGTCGTCTTGTACAATTTGTATGTTTTTGCTTCTGGAGCTCGAGATCTGGGGATGCTTTGAAGTCAGTTTGCATTTTGGAATCTATGGTGATTTAGAAGTGTGGTGTGTGCCATGTGTGTATCAGTATGGAACATGCATAGTTAATGTAATGTCCATTTAAGAAAGTATCAGTGATTGTGCAAAGCAACAATCTGCAACGGAAATTTTAAAAAGTTGGATCGTAAAACTTGGTGAAATTTACCTTTTGGAATTGGCTCCATGTTGTGCTTGGACTGAGGAAATTTTAATTCCAGAAATTACCGTGTTTGGAATTTCATTTTCTGGCCGCAGTGAACTTCCAAATACTGTTTTAACACGAGCAAATCTCTAATTCCGGATGGTAAGGTTTGTTCATTGTAAATATACTTTGGTATATGAAATATGCAAATAATAAGAAACTTGGAATCTTGAAAATGCTACTTTCTTTGAACAAAACTCTGATGGTATGTTCTAAAATCTGAGAAAACTGATACATGAATTAGAAAGGTCAAATTTAACAAATGAGTTGGGCTTTTCCTTAAAGTATAACACTTCTTTTTGCTGGAGGAGGAGAGACAGATGACATAATTACATGCAGGAATCGACACCCCACCAATTTTTAATTCATATTAGATCAATACAATTCTGCTGGACGTGCAATAGATGGACACTTTTTTTTTTAAGAAATTTTGAGTCCATGTATGATGTTATTTTACTGCACTTGGTGCAGTATGGATAGAGAACTGGAGAATTAAAAAAAAACACAAATTAAGGAAGTACTCAATTGGGCTATGAAGGCAGAAAACAACCCAGGGAATATTAAGAAACAAGCAGCAATTGTTACAGAGAACACAAACAAACATGGAGCTTGTCCGATACAGGTAAAGGAGGGAGTGTGTTTCATGTGCAATGAGGATGGGCACTTTGCCAAGAACTGCCCCAGTAAGAAACGTAAGAAC